CTTTGTTTAGTTTACCCTTACGCTGATTTTTAAATTTAATGTGGAATGGTCCACAAAAATCAGTTCCAACATTACTAAATGGGTAAGAAGGTGTTACTCGTTCTTTGGGCAGATCACCCATTATCTGAGTCTCAAAAACAGGTTTGTTTTTAAAACAAGTTATACATTGAAAAACAACTTTACGACAACATTTCATTTCTGCCATTTAAGACCCAAAATTTACGTCGAACATGATACAATAATGCATTTGAACCAACATGCAAATATTTTTAAATGATAATATCTCACAATTATTAAAGTTAATGGATGCTTATCTGGCAGAACAATTGGATTTTTCTCATCATATGTACTGAGGTCAGAATGTTTCAGTCTGCCTCCAACCCTTAGAACATTGTCTTTATCTAAAAAACAGTTTAAAGATTTTACCTTGCTGTTGCTGGGCACTGAGGCACCTCTCTCAAGATGTTTTATTTCATCTACAAACTCACCTTGTTGGATTGACCTAAATAAATAGATTTCCGCTCTTCTCAACTCGCTAAATGTAAGGTGACCTGTAAGCTTTTCATTTCTAACATTATTGATAAATCTAAATACATAGCACATAACATGAACAATAGTTAAATAATTATTACTCAAGGAAAGAATATCATCAACTATAGAACTATGATTTAAAACAGTAAAGGCAATAGGAGAATGATCATTAGAGTCATCAGTTTTCTTTAGTTCATCAGAAAAGTCATCTAATGAAATTAGAATGTCATTATTGTCTACCGGAACATCAGTCTTTTCTCTCTCAAAAATTGGGGTCCATGCCACCAAATGTCACTGTTCAATAAAATGTCAGCACTGACCCCCCTGCTGAGGAGATCAGCTGGATTTTGCTTCCCAGGGCAGTGTGCCCAGGCACTGGTATCACTTAAACTCTGTATTTCGTTAACTCTATTGGCAACAAATGATTTCCATCGTTTCGTAGATTCGTAGATCCTTTAATCCAATAGAGAGTTATTTTTGAATCCGTCCAAAGGAACACTAAGGAGGGCTTTTTAAATCCACTGTTTTCTTGACTTTACTCGCTAGTCGGGCGGCAAGCAAAGCACCGAGTAATTCTAGTCTAGGTAGAGTGATTTTCCTTAGTGGTGTCACTCGACTCTTGCTAACCAATAAATTCACTTCGATGTTATTATCCTTCACAACTCTTGCATAAATAGCTGTACCGTAAGCCTTTTGGCTAGCATCGCAGAAGCAGTGTAGTTCTAAGATATCGGTTGGCACTTGTATATTTAAATTGAGCACGTTTCTAGGAACTCGTAACTCTGAAAGATCAGGAACCTTCGGAGCACCACTGAAGCCATATTTTTTTGTAGATCTACAGGTATTTCTTCATCCCAAGAAATTTTCTTCTTCATCCATAAGACTTGTAGAATGAACTTTGCACGAATAGTAAACGGCGAAAGCAACCCAAGCGGATCAAAAATCCTTCCAATTGTACGTAGTAGGAATCGTTTGGTACTTTCGTTTTTAGACAGACTGTCCACTAGGCTCTGCTTTCCCAATATTAGACAATCTTCAGCAGGATTCCATGACAGTCCCAAAACTTTAATAGTGTTGACTTGTGGCTGTGTATCGAAACCTTCACGTGTCCAAAACTGCATCAATGTATTGTCATTCGTAGTCCATTTTCGTAGCACCATGCTAGCTTGGCTCATAATTGATGTAGCTTGAGTAGAGATCTCAAAAGCATCCGACACATTATCAGCTCCAGAAATAAAATCATCCACATACAAACAGCGGTCTAAGCATTCTGTTGTAGTCGGGAATTCTTCTTCAGAGTGCTTTCTCAGGTGAGTTTTCAAAGTAGCAGTCAAAAGGAATGGACTGCTCGTAACACCAAAAAGAACACGATTAAATCTGTAAACTTGAATTTTACCATTTTCTTCCCACAGAAAACGAACTGCATCTCTGTCCTTTTCGGCTAATAAAATTTGTAGGAAAGCTTTCTCTATGTCTGAAGTAAAGGCGACTTTGTTTAATCTGAAATTAACAAGAATGTCGAATATGTTCGAATTCAGGTTTGGCCCTGACCACAGGCAATCATTTAGACTTAAATGCTTAAAGTTATGACTGGAACTTGCATCAAATACTATTCTCATTTTTGTAGTTGCACTTTCCTCTCTAAAAACTGGTTGATGTGGCAAATAGAACACAGGTTTATCAACAGGTTCCTTAGGACATCTAACTTTCTCTATAATATTCTTATTTTCATAGTCTTTTAAAGTTTCAATATACTGCAAATGAAGATTTGGATCTTTTTGAAGTCTACGCATAAGTAAATTAAGTCTGTTTTTTAGCAACGATGAAGTTATTATTGAGCTCTCCCCCCAATCTCTTTTCCATGGTAATTGAACCTCATACCGGTTATCTTTAAAACGAACAGTTTTTTTTCAAATGTTTCTAAAGATTGATCTATCTCATTTTCACTGGGATCATCTTTAATTCCTATAGACTCAAGTTGCCAAAATTTTTTAATTTCATTTTCTATATCACTATAATTATTAATTAATCCACAGTGAACTGTTCGCGTATTTTCAGTCTCTGAACCTTAAAATGCTGCCAGTGGCTATAAAGCCAAAAACAGAATTTTGAAATCTTAGCTCTGAATTGGGTACTTCAACTTGACCGAATTTTAAGATCTGATAAAACACCTCTGCGCCTAATAATGCATCAATTTTTCCTCTTTTATAAAAGTTTGGATCAGCAAACTTAATGTTTTGAGGAAAATGTTCAGTCGGAACTTCTATATTATTTATTGGTAGAGAGTCTGAGATTTTAGGCACGCACAAAAATTCTAAACTCATTTCAAAGTCAATACCGTTTGAAATAGAAGCACATACTTTAGAATTAATATTTATTCTCGTGTTATTTAATCCAGAAACCGCAACAGATATTTTTTTCTCTTTTAATCCCTAACGAATTAGCACATTCAATCGTTAAGAATGACGTCATCGAACCTACATCACACAAAGCGCGAACTGATTTTAATTCACCATAACAATCTCTGATTAAAATATTCGCAGTAGAAAGTAAAACATTTTTGGTCTGACGCATTCCGTTTACAGCTGTGCCGGCGAAAATACTTTCTTTATTGGTAGAAGAAGAGTCATAAACAAATTTTTCAGCATTCGGATTGAGACTGACTGTCGTCTTCTCCCCCCCTACTTCCGGCTTTGAAATATGAGCACTTTCGGATTTATTTTGTTTTTCATTTTCGAAATGTAATAGCGTTGAATGCTTTCGTGAGCATTTTTGACATCGATAATTAGACGAACACGTTCGAACGGAATGGTTTTTCAAACAATTAAAACAAAGCTTATTTCTTTTCACGAATTCACACCTGTCATTGACAGAAAGATGTATAAATTCCGGTCACTTATATAAGGAATGGAATTCTTCACCACGGCACTTTATGCACTTCAAAATTATGTTTTTTTGTATTAGAAGTGGATATCATACTCGTAAGTTTTTTATGTGGAGAATTATTACTCTTTTTTACCTCCTTTATTTTACTATTTTGAAGCGTTCTCGCTTGGCTTTGTAAAAACGAAAGTAATTGTTCAATCGTACCAAATTCTTCCGAGTTTTTAATTCTTTTTCCCACCAGTATCGAGTCGATTTATCAAACTTATCCACTATTAAATATACAATCATTATTTCCGATAAGTTTTCTCTACTTTGTAGTTTAAAATATTTAAAGTTCGAATACATTCGTTCGTTACATCAATTAAATTTAGAATAGAACTAGATGTCTCGCTAATACTCGGCTGATTCAAAAGCTTTTTTATTATAGCATTTAAAAGCTCACGTTTATTCGAATACCTATCTTCTAAAAGTTTCCAAGCTATATCGAAATTTGTATCCGAAATAGAAATAGACTGTATTACTCTCAGAGCTTCGTCCTTACAACTAGCTTTTAAATATTGCAATCTCATTGCATTACTCGAAATAGATTTGTTTTCTATTACACTAGCTTTAAACATATCTTTAAACATTATCCAATTCTCTATTTTACCATTGAATGTCGGTACCGATAGCGTCGGTAACTTAACATCCGAAAACACATTTGAATTATTATTACTCGGCACAGTAGAAACAGAATGTTCAGAATTCATCTTATTTTTTACTACTGCTAATTTACGTTTAATCATCAATAGCAACTCATCAACAATATCATCTGTATCTTCTTTAATCCTTAATAAAGTTATCCAATTCTTCGGGTTTACATGTTTCGAAAATTGAATAAAATACATATATAAGTTCGTTAGAAATTTCATTAGTTTTGGTTTCAAATAGCTGCAACGCAACTGAATCTGAAACATCTAATGACGAAACAAATTTATCTTTATGCCTCGTCAGTGAACTTTTTAACACTCTTTTTCTAGTTTTTAGAGCTTCCATATTTATAACAGTTATACTCTTCAAATTTAATAGAGATTAAAATGGGAGAGCTCACCTTCGATTCTCGACGGACCACTCTAAATGTACTCAGGAGCTGGTTGACTTTGTATTTAATAACAAAGATTATCATCACAAAGATATTTACTTTATTATACATTTATTAATCATTTTGTTGCTGTAGAGGAACGATCTGGCTCCAAAACATTTCAAATTCTCAATCACAAAGCTGTAAGATTTGTTACAGCAAGTACACAAAAGAAAAGAATACTCAATTCAAATTACGTAGGTCAAGAGTATAACGCGCTAGCAGCGCCTCCTGTCGGCAACACTTAATCACTACTGAACAGTGCAGTCACCATTGCCGCGATTTTGGCCCTTTGCTTTTGAACACTTTTGAGTAAACTTCTATTTATACTTTATCCTAGGTTTTGTGCTAAGTGAATGGCCATGTCACGAGGGTAATTATTTAGTATAATATTACTAGTTTTGATAATTATGTGTGGAATGCATTATTTTAAGTTAATCAAGGTTATTGTTACGTGTTAATGTGAAAATTTCGTGTGCTTGTAAAAACAGGACCTATAGTGAAAAGTTTTGGGAGAAAAGACTCTTATACTATGACAAGTTACAGCTATGTTTTAGCCTGGAATTTTTGTATTTATGCTTTTGATTACTTTGATTTAATATTCTGAAATGTGTAATTGTGACGGGTAATACTAGAAATTTTGTTTTTGAATTGATCGTAGTTTGACTAAATAGTAATTTTGTGTAACTTATTAGATATGTTTTATGCACATTTAGCCTACCTAGTATTTTTTTAATATTTTTTATTTAAAGTGTTTTGGTAGTGATTGCACTATTCGTGTATTTTGTTTAATGTTCTAATAGTTTTGTTTATTATTGAATAGATAAATTTTTAAGCTATTAAAATATTTAGGAATTAATGATACAAAAGAATGAGTTAAAAATATAGATTGTGTAATTCAATTTCAAAATTGTGTTTTATTGTTAATATGGATTAGATATGAAGGTATGATGATAATATGAGTTAGACACGAAGTACTGCCTGAGATTAGCTAATGAACGAGGCCAAAAGTCGCGCAATCAGATTTATTGTTTAGTGAGGGAACGACGGGCGCACCCTTTCGATGATTCCAAGTGTCGCATTAAATTTGTCCACGGCAACAGCGATTCTCGCCACGAGATCTTCAGCTGAGTCCACAGGCTTCTCGTACACTAAAAATTTCATGTGCCGTCAGAAGAAAAAGTCCAGTGGGTTAAGGTCCGGTGAGCAAGGAGGCCAAGTCACAGGTCTGCCACGTCCTGTCCATCGTGTGGGATATGTAGCATTTTTTAACTGTGACAGAAAAATGTGCTGGGACTCCATCGTGCATAAACCACATGCCTCTCTGGATGGGGAGCGAAACAGCTTGCAATAAGCTGGGAAGTACTTGTTCCAAGAAGATACGGTATGTTGCTGCGGTCAAAGATCTGGCATAATGTAGAGGCCTACCAAGTAATCACTTAGGATACCTGTCCAGATGTTTCTGTGTTTATGAGGGGTAGTGCAGTGCGGATTGCTATCAGACCAAACATGTTAATTGTCCACGTAGAAAATGCCTTCTCTGCTGAATGTTGCTTCATAACTAAATAATATTAATGCAGGAAATCGTGGATTGTTAGCCCTCATTCCAAGCACCTATTACACAAAGACTGCCAAGCAGGGATAATCATATGTTCCTCTGTGTACAAAAATTGCACTTTCTGCGCGTGGTAGGGGTGCATGCTTTCTTCGTGTTAAATACGCCACGCCAACTGATTGAGAGTATGTACCACCGTATGTGATCTGCCAATTCCTCGCACGTGTATTCCGCCACAGCATTCACAAAAAAGTTCGGACGATGTTATCAAGGTAATACTTGAAGCGATAATGTTGTGCCGTATTCAAAGACAACGTTTCCTCCGATTGGCCTTCTCCGGTACCAGCTAAGAGCAGAATGCTCTTCTTTTCAGTGAAAATTTGCATACGGTTGATTCTTGATAGTAGCCTTGTTCTTCCTCGATGCGTTTCTACTTTCCTCTTTTCTGCCTCTCAGAGTGGAATGCGACCCTAGCTTCTATGGTAATTATTTCTCGTCTGGATGGGTACTATCACCCCTCTTAATTTGTAAAAACAATTTAGAATCACCCTCTCTCTCTATATATATATATCTATATCTCTATATATATATACAGATACGGTTCTGTTACAAGAAGGCTTTGACAGTCTTTTAACTCTACCAGATTTATTTCCACAAATTATTACGGTAATTTCCAAAGAAGAATGGCAAATATATTTAAAAAGTATTCTTTTTAATAACTACATTGCTTTTAATAAGGCTTTTTAAAAACAAATCAGCAGAATTCCGATGGGGACCAGCACTATTTCAGCGATTTGTAATTTGTACTTTTTCACCAAGGAATTTCCTTTTTAACAACAGTTATCTTAATTACAACGTTCATACTATACTAACATCTACAGATACAAGGATGATATTATTGCAATCAAAAACTTTAATAAAATAGAATTCGATCACATTTATCCTTCAGGTTTGAAACCCAATAAAACTAACTTTCAGCAAGGAAATATTAATTACCTGGATTTGCAAATTATCAATTTTAGAGATATCATAATTTATGACAAAAGAAGAGATTTTGATTTCCCTACTATTAAACTCATCCATTGACACTCCAATATCTCTAAAAGAGTAATACTAAATACCATACATACTCAACTGCTTAAAATAAAAATTATTTGCAAGTGTAATACTTACAAGAAGAAAACAATTATTTAGTCAAAATTCTCTTAGAGAATAAAACACACCTCTATTCAAACTTTCTATAACTCTAAAGAAAGCTGGTATTAACTAGTTTTTTTAATTTCTCATCTAAAGTGATATAATAATTATTACTTAAATCTTAATAGGAGGTAATAGTTGGATGACTACGATAAGAAATTTAATGTAAATTTGTACAAATATATTGTTTCTTTTCCCTTTCAAACATTATGCATACTTTCTTTCTACTATTTTATAAGTTTATAAATGGCAAATCTTCTTGCTTTTACTAAAAAAGGAGCTGTTTAGTTTCTGAGTTTTGTACCCCGATTATGTGGAGACTTTTATCTTCTATAACATAATTTTCTTTTTCCTCAACTCTGAGCCAATACTAATTTCATGTTTTAAGATTTTACAGAAAGCAGCATCTTGTAGAGTTTCTTAATGCCGCCATTTTGAAAGCGACGATCACCCTTCCTCTTGGTAATAATTTTTACAATCGCACCCACGTTTGACACCCCCGCACACAAAAACACAGTTTGGTCATCTGAAGAATTAAGCAAACTTTCGTTTCGTTGTTATATGATTATATCGTTATACGATTTCAGTAAGTTTTTTCACGTTTATTTCTAATAAGTGTTTTTCAAATTTGTATTTTCAGTTTTGTTTCTAATCGATTTTCAGTTTTTGCCGACGTAGCTTTGATTTTATTATTTAAAGCTACCTCTATGAAAATTTTTCGTTTTCTTGTATTTTATAGTTAAGCATAATCGGGTACGCCCATTTTTAGAGTATTGTTTAAATGACTATTTGGTTTAAAGTATATTTGTATTGCGATCTATATTTATATTTGATTTGAATTTTGGATTTTGGAATTTTGGATATAATGTTTTTATTCGTTTTTTTTTTCGAATGGTCACTTTACATAATGTAAAGTTTTATGGTCTTTTTTTATAGTCAGTATAAAGCAATGTTAAATTTTATCCTTTATTCCAAGTGTTTCAAGGCGTGTAGGGAAAATTTTAGTATCTTGAGATTCACTTTTTTTCAGTTTTATATGAGTTTTAAAGTAAAGGAAATTTAGACTAGAAGAGAAACACGCTAATGTGACAATCAAAATCGTAAAAACAACGTTGTATTTAGCGTAAGTATAATGAAACAATCGATTTCGAGGGCAGCTAAAGGTCCCTCCTCATCAGAAGAAAGAAATACCTAGAAAGAAGAAAATAAAGGAGAAGGAGTCATACTCCATGAAGAGTTTTAAGTTTATAAATGGCAAATCTAAGAAAAGAAAATAAAGGAGTAGGAGTCATGACTCCTTCTCCTTTATTTTCTTCTTTCTAGGTATTTCTTTCTCCTGATGAGGAGGGACCTTTAGCTGCCCTCGAAATAGATTGAGTGTTTCATTATACTTACGCTAAATACAAGGTTGTTTTTACGATTTTGATTAAAGGAAATTTGTTTCTTTTTTCGGTTTTTGATCTGAAATGAACCAAGAAAACAAAACACGTTTTCGAAGCATATTAATCCATTTTTATGAAGCTTTAATTTATTTTTCCCTGGTGAATTTCACTAAAGGCGGATTAATTTTTATATTTTTATTTTCTTGTATATAATTTCTCTTTTGCTTTTTAAGTTTTCGAGTTTATACTACTATGGTCATTTCTATTTTGAATTGTTTAGATATTGTGTTAAACCTCTTATACAAGGATGCAATTATTAATATTGTTGAAGAACTGCCTCGCTTTGACTCTAGTTTACTTTTGACTTTAGATGCTTTAAATTTATTTTACTTCAATCCTACAGCTATAGCCCAGGACATGTATACGAAATTTGTTTTTAATTTTTGCCTCTTATTAAATTTCTTTGTGTGTTTTATATATACATATATAACAGAAACACAAACAATTGTTATATAGGAATTTTTTTTTCTAAATAGCATTAAATACATCATTAGAAAATTATGCACCTTCGACATTAGTTTTTAAAATGTTAAAAAAAAACTGGCAACACTTTGAGTCTCTTGCGATTTAAAAAAAGATATTAAATATTTGGAAATTTGTATATTTGTTATAATGTTCTCCATTTTTCTTGTTTTCTGTATTCTTTTTCTGCATTTATTTGCAATTTGTTCAACATTTTAACAGCAATTATGTTTTTAATATTTAAATTTGGGTTTTACTTTGGAAGTGCTAGCTATTTTATACACTAATGTATATATTTTTTTTTTGTCCTCTGTTTAGTTGACAGCTCAAAAACTCAGTTGATTTTGAATTTCAAATTATTTTGCTTTTCAAAATTTCAATCAATTTCTTAAAAAAGTTTTTTCTTTGAAATTCAAACTTCTTTGCTTTGTACCATTAAATTAACTTTTTGGGAGTTGACTTTCTCGACTACGTTTTTTAGTTTCTCCAAGGAGACCAAACTGGTAACCCTAGGCATCTTATATTCTAACGGTTCATCTTAGATCAATTGTTGTTTGATAGAAAGTTCTGCAAAATGTTTGTAAAACATTATTACTACAGTGTAGATAGTTTTTATTTTTAAGGAATTTATTCGCTGAATGTAGTTGATATTTTAACTGCTTTTGTTTTACGTATTATAGATAAGTTTCCATGTTTTGGAAAAGTTCATTTAAAATTCAGAGAAAATCTTCATTTAAAATTTTATTTTGTATTTTTGCTTTATTTTTTCTTGCTTTGGGGAGGGCCAGAGTTTTCGGGTGAACTGTTAAGGTTAAAAAATATATTGAACTGTTTCATAAGCTAATTCTGGATACAGAACAGCAAGGATTTTCTTATGGAAGAGGATTGTAATTGAATCCAGTGTATCCTCCTCCTGACAAAGTTATATAGGAGTTAATTGGATTCCTCTTCTTTCTTGTTCCTTTGTGTTTTTTTCTTTCTTTATTTATTTATTTATTGTTTTCCCTGTGATAGTTCATTTTAATTTTTCTTTTAACATTTTTAGAATTCTTATTCTACATTAAATGATTTATTGAAATTTATAAATTATGAATTCCAGCTTTTGGTCTCTGTGAAAAATTAGTTTTAAAAATCTATCTTTATAAATATACATATTTAACAGAGCTTGTCTCTGAAATTTTTGATACACTCTTATAATTCTTTTCCCCATGAAGCTGAATTTAATTAGGAGGATGAATAGTTGCAGTTGTGTAGTGCCAATATGAACCTTATAAGAAATACACCAACCCAAATAGGTTTTCTCCCTTGTCCTGGCGCACTCCCGGCAGTCACCTTGACCACATTTGGAGGAGTAGGGATGACTTGCAGAAACTTAACAATAGTTGGCTATTGCAGCGCACATAATTTTCAAGAAAAAGCTGGTGATAGCGCCTCATTTCACAAATTAGAATTTATAGATATTTTTATTCTAATTTTCTAGCTAGAATTTTTAGATATATTAAAAATCAATCTCAATTTCAAACCGAGATTGATTTTTAAAAATTTAGCATGTTTAGCAAGCATAATTAATGTTCTAAATAATTATAAAGCTGTTGCATGTTTTCAGGTCTGGATATTATTTTAGCTTTTCCTATGCTGTAAGGAAATTTGTATTTACTTCTTTTAAAAAATAATATTTTAAATCTTAACTAATAGAAAAATTCAATCAAACAATTTTCTCTTACAATTTTTATGCTTTTTATTGGTGTAAATAAGAAAAAAATATTAAAATCCCAAAAATGGATTTTGAAAGTTTTTGTTTAAAATTCTTAATTGTCCTGCTTTTTTAAAATTATAGGTGAATATTATAGCATAATATTCTACAAAGGAGTTTAATTTTAATAATATTTTATAATACATCATAGTGATAAACACTTTTAACTCTTTATTAATTTTTATGTATTTATTCTAATGTTAAAAATTGTATTTAACTGTAATAATTAATTGTGCTAGTATTTTATAGTGATTATTTTTTAATTTTTAATTTATTTTCAGTTCTGCATAAGTTTTCTTATTTATTGTGAATTTATTTTATTAGCTCAAAGAAGCGGCAGCTCAGAAAAGCTATTAGTTTCGAAACGGCATTTTGCTTTGTTTCACTATAAATGTCCGTTTCACTTTGCAAACTGTTTCCACCAATTATTATAGCCTTGTATTATATTTAAAGAAATTAAATAATGAAGAATCTGCATGAACGCATGCATGTTTCTCGCATTGTGAAAAAACGACGGAATTTAGAGCCATCAAATTTTGAATAACGTAATACACCACCAGAACATTGGCACCTGGACGGCATAATTTCGAATTTTTTTTAATTCATTTCATATTTTTAACTTTAACGAAGTTTTGATTAACAAACTCAACTAGCACAAAGAGAGCAATGGCAACCCTGTACAGAAAATAACATTTTTATCTCCAGCGCGGAAAATCTGAAGATAGTCCGTTTTCAAATATTTTGAGATATTGCTCTTGAATTGAATTTTGTGCGGGTTACTTGCGAAGAACATGATATTTAATAAATAAAGGTAACACACAAAACGTTACAGAAAACGCTCCTTTGGGCGTAATACAAAACCAAATCTGAGTGCTTCCAGAGTTTATCTTTTTTTTTCCCTCATTACACTCAGAAAAGTTATGCTCCGAAATTCATGAACTAGTAAAATAAATAATCATCTCGTAATGATCATTTATTTGATTATATGATTAATTATCATATAATCAAATAAATGATCGTCTTGTGATGTTATAATAATTTTAAAAAACTACTGCCTGAAAATACCCATAAAATCAAAGAAAACTATCAGATCTTATTTAATTTTAACTTATTTGTTTCAAAGCATCATGTGCTATCAATATTATTTAATTTTACTTTATTTGTACACAGAAATAAGTTCATAAGTTTTGCGTTTAGAATTTTTACCGTTTTACCAAAGTAAAGATGTTTGTACAAGAATTACGCGTGAAAAGAAAATGCGCAAAACGCAGTAAAAATTGCTTTAATGAGATATATTAAACCTTATTTGCAGAAACTGTGACTTTCATAATCTCATCACTTATACAACGTATCACATTTAATAATTAAACACAAACGCCGTAGGTTTCCGTGTTAAAGTAAGCCAGATTGTCCCTACTCTTTTTTGCGTACATGTGGGTGACGCATGCTCCGCCCACTGGGTTAGTCTACCTCTTATAAGGTCTATGAGTGCCAAATACTGAAGTGTCATCATTTAATACGTAGTTGATTACAGAACATCTTTAGATGGTGCAATAACGTATGAATTGTTCAGAAAATTCTCATTCGTTTCTAAATGATATAAAGTTTCAAACGTTTCCTATTTCTTTAAATTTTGCTTTAAAATACTAAATACTATAATGCTTTCTCTGCGTTATAAAATATTATAAAATTCCCCAGATATGAACAAATTGTTAAATTATCAATAATTACATACATATTTACGAATAAATAGACTCACAAGATGCGCAGAATTTAAACTTTTCTGAAAACTCTTCATTTTAAATTTATTTATATTTACTTCTTTCAACTTTTGAAGCAATGTTTAAGATCTTCAGGAATTCTGATCTGAACTCAAATATTTAAAGCAGAATGGCATCCAAGTTCGATTATTTAAAGGGAAACGGAGGTGTTTTGAAATTCGGAATAGTAGAGTTCTAACCAAAGGTAGCTGAATTTAAATAAATCTGTCGTCAGTGTGAACTTTTACCGCATCTGAGCCGATTTGCTTCTGTACACCTTGCTCGCTTTAGTCAAACGTATTGCATAATACGAACATATGCATGGGCAAAAGCGCGGACTGAAATCGAAAAATTCCTGAACTTTTGTATAGATTAAACGTATTGCATTTTTAGGACACTGTTTTTTCTTTTTGAACGCATAAATGTGATGTTATTCTGCTTAATATCTCAGATATTCTTCATTTCAGTCAATGTGTTATAAGTATATACTGCCTGTGCTTTATTGGATGAAATAATGTTTCCATTTCGTACGCGAATCACAACTACTAATTACATAAACTGAAGTTTATTTGCGAGTTCTTTAGAAAAGCAACGATAATTCTGTGCTGTAATGACCAATCGATTTTATAAGCTAAATAAGAAAACTTCTTATATCTCTAAGATATCCTTGAGACGGCACAGAAACTGGAATAAACTACATTTAAAATACTTCTAAATGTTTCAGTTAAAAGAACTCGTATAGGTAATTTCATAGTCCAATTAGACACAAGCCATGGAAACTTCCCGAGCTATCTATTCCTGTTTTCCACAAGGAGTGTCTACTTGAAAAGATAATTTTAAAAAATCAGTGCTTATATTAATTTATTCAAGAAATTACAAAAAAAAAAAAAAAAAAAAAAAAAAAAAAAAAAATCGAAGCTTATTTTAATTTATTAACGATTTTGTAGATGTAATCTAACAACATGGTAGTAGGCTTCTGAATATCAGATAGTAAAACATGAAGATCATACTTATTTACACGAAAATTGTGTGGGAAACATTGTTGTATAAACCTGGTGCTTTAATGGTTTTTAAAGCTTCTATACGAAAAATTTAAAGCGTTTTATTACAATAAAACTTAAGCTTTTAAGCACAAATATCTACTGGAATATCGTATCAAGCACTTGAAAACATAATTTATGTTATTAAATTCAAATGGTATGTGAATTTATTAAACACACATCAAACATACATGATATCAAATTTTTTCATCAGTTAGCGCTTATTGTTTACTTTTTTTATCGAATTTTTATCTTTAATTAGTTTCTATTGGCTATGTTTGTGTATGTTTATGGTGTATTAGCTATTATTGCTTACTTCTTCAAAATGGTTTACTATGTTTTTCTTGTTTTTATAGGCAGTGCTCTTATCCAAGAAGCCTTTTTTGCAGAATTCGCTTAAGTCAACTAGACGGTGCAGCTTGGAAACCCAAGAAACAGTACAGCGTTATGTTGAAACAGGATCTTGGGATGATACAATATCACAACCAAGTTGTCCAGTTTTAACAATGGCGTAAGAACGTATTAAAGTGGAAGTATTAAAGTCGTATTTTAGCTGAAATGGAGAATATCTAAGGAGACAATGGAAACGTAATGGCATTATAACGACGAAACCACTTTTCACGCAAATAGTCCAGTCATTTGAAATCATGAATGTGACTCCCCAAAGCTGAATGTTTGATTCGCTGTGACAGCTGCTGGTATAATAACTGGATCCTACATTTTTTTATACTCCAACAGTGTCTTCAGTTGTGTACTTAACGATGTTGTAGCAGTACATCATTAATCAACCACCACTACAAATCCGACACGACGGTATTTCCAACCAGATGGCCTACCCCCTGCATTATACCTTTGATGTTCGTGCCTATTGCCTATTTCGACCACACATTTTCCAAACTGGTCATTGTGTAATACTGCGCTGGCCTCTAAAATCTTCAGACTTGACACCCTTCGATTTCTGGTTATGGGGTATCATCAAAGAGCGTGTGTATAGCAATACCTGAGGAAGAGGATAAGGGTTGTAACATCATTACGGGTCTTATACTCGCGAAATGCGTATGAAGTCTTTACACGTGTCAGCTGGTCATTGACTTTTATGTGTTGAAAATGTTAGCGAAAACAGGTTGAGACCATCATATAAAGGATTTTTCATATTTCATGACCTGGTGTGGTTACATCATTTTAACTCAGTGTGTGTAAGGTATGTTTCTGTTGAAAATAGGAAATTACAGATATGTTCTCAGATAACTAAATCATAGATGTGTTCTTTAACTAAAGAATACATTTATAAATATAATCAACAGAAAAATAAGTATTTTGTATTCAGTTATTCTTTAAATCCATGCTTTTCTTTGAAAGAAATTTAGAAGAAGTCTTCAGAGCTCCAGAATAAAAATTGGCTTTTAATACAAATCAATTAATTTGAAACGGATTGTTTTGAAAATCAGCTCTATTCATTCAGTAATTAAAATAAAAGTTCTTACGTAAAGTAATTAATTTCAATGTTTAAGTACTTTTTCCAATGGCGAAAATTAGAATGTAAAAGCTTTACTTGAAATATTGAATGATTGAAAAAACTTCATTACTGATCAGAATTTGAAACATAACTATTTTAATGCATTTTCCCATTTGTGAATATAATCAAGTAACAGATTAACTCAAAACTACCGTTTTTTAGTTGTTAGCTTGATTGCATCCATGTGCATTCTTGTTAACCTAATTTTGTAACTTTACCTTCCTCATGGTTTCTTACGATTAAATATTTGTAGTCATTTTAGCTTTATATTTGTACCTGCATCTGCACCCTTATTTTATTTGTATGCTTATGCTGCAACAGTGACATACAACTAAAATATGAATTAGCAGAACAATGTAAAGTATTACAAACATAAAAATTTCTTAATAATTTAGAATCTACAATTAATTTAATTGTATAACTGTTGATATGCATTAGAACTGAACGCAGTTTGTCCCAGATAATATCATAGTGTCTCCTTGGATGTAACAGCAACTTTTCGGCTCTCAATTACGCCGTCACCACTATTTTTCACTTAGTCTGAACACCAGTGTAGCCACATCATGTACTATCCCTCCTTACCACGGTCCTTCTTTTAGCAAGCCTCACTTTACATAGTCAAGTTCCGGAGGGCTTGGAATTCAAAAAACTGAAAAGCACCTAGTCTAGTGAACCATCAGTTCTGTCGAGGATGAAAAGTAAGAAAAGTTGCAACTTTATGGAAATCAATATACGAGTAGTTGGAATTCAGAGCTACATTTGATATTTGCCAGTTTCAAGTAGAGATAACACATTTGAAACCCCGAATTGCACGAATCTTGAAAATTGTTTCTAAATCCTGAAATTCAAATTTTAATGCTATTTTTGCCGTTCAAATCATTTGATTATGAAATCGTTTTGCCATGTAGTAAAAGCATTCGCTACAAGAAGAATGCGATTGTTGCAATTCCATGCGATCCAGACCATGAGTATCATCTTATAACAGTCTTGGTGATGCACTCTTAATTCTGGTTTCCTTTATCTATCTTCTTAAGTACATTTTTTAAAATTACGTACCTAAAACGTTTAGTATCATTAAATGCATACTTCAAAATTTCCATTAAATAAAAGTTTTATCAAAAGTAATTAATTCTTTTTTTTTCTTTTTTATTATTCTTACTTGAAGAATCTGAGAAATTCCAAATCCTTTTAGAATTTGGATTCGAAAAACGTTGAGATTTGGGGAAAAGTTCTTGTTTTAAATTTCCGTGATAATTCTCTATCTCCCATGACAGAGGGTTGGATTGCAAATTAAATTTTCCCCTTATTTACTCCTCCCGAAAATCAAACAAATTATAATTATTTTCATGAACCGTATAATTAAAGCTATCGAATATTATTTCCGAAAATTCCATTTTTGAGTAAACCATAAACCTGGCATCCCTAAAATAAAAACGCAAACTTTATGAAATTCTAAAAGTGTTTCTCTTAAAGTTTTAAATCTCAAGAAAGAGCGTATTATCTAAGTAAACTATAATTTTCCACTGCTTTGTTTCAGAGAAAATGCATGAACACGCAAAGCATAGACTCTTCGTGATAGACTGAGCGCCTTCTTCTTCATAACCCGCCACTTCAAGAACCCACCACCATTCGTTACCCGCAAGCAATTTCTTTATTTATTGAGAGAGCTCTCCGTTCCTCACATCAGAGCCTCTTGTTTCTGGGAAATTAGTGTTCTTGTTTACTCAAGCGCTGAGTTTTAGTGTGTCAATAATTGCTATTAGCTCCTAAGTACTAGTGCGGAAAGTTACGTGTTTTCGTTGAAATACGTGCAATACTGTTGTGATTGGTAGCTGGTAATTATTTTAATAAGAATATCCAAGCATCATAGTTTGAAGAATGCTCTCTCGCCCGTGATTATCAAAGAATATTTTTAAAACCTAGCTAAAATTCCACTGGTAAAGGTTAGAAAAGAAAAACACCATTATTGAAGTTTTATTATTAACGAAAGACGAGTTACGGCAACAAGAGGAATGGGTTCTTTAAATTGGTAAACACCGATTTTTCAGATATCGAAAATATTTCCGGAATGGAATTTTGGATGGTTTTAATCGTGTTAATACGAAGTAGTGTTGATACGCAAATTAAAATAGTGATAATACACATACCACGAGATTGAATGAAAAAAAAATAAAAATGTCTCTTATCTTAAAACTGCAGAATACATTATTCCTTAGAGTTACGTACGTAATGAGTTCCGTAAACTTTTACTCAACTTGAATTATAAGTTAAGTAAAGAATTACAGAATTATGTCGCATTTGTGCAGAACCTAAGTACATAAACGTTAAATTCTAGCTTCTTGAAATTAACCGTCTCATCCTAATTTTTCAATAAAATAATACCAATTGAGAAGAGGATTTAATTATTTTAACAAACTTCTTAACTAATTTTTTAGTCTTCACAGGTTTGTAAAACTCGTGTAATAATAGAATACCTGCATTGTTTGCAGAATTAGCAAAATATAAAAGTCAAACTTAATATTATTTCAAAAGCGTAGGATTTTAAGTCTAGTCTCGAGTTCTCGTCTAACACGAGAACACGCGGCTGGCAAACATTAAAGCCGTTTAAACAAGTCAAATAGCCCAAAGAATCATGCATAACGATAAAAGTAGATACTAAAGTTAATATTAAAAGAAACAACTAGATATATACTCTGACACAATGGGTGCGATTATCAGCAAAGTTCAAAATGTGAAAGTGTTAAAAAATTCTCACCAAATTTGTTACCTCAAGAACTATTTATTATTAGGAAATAACTATCTATATCTCTTTAGTTATTTATGACTCTACAATAATTAAATAATTCCTTTATTCATACTCTCAAATGAGGAAAACAAAAGTTACACTAACTCTCTAAAAAGAACAACATCATAGTATGTTGCCATTCTCTGAAACATATTGTTACAAAACATAGATAATAATAATATGAATAGATAATGAATAAAAAAACCTATAGAGTAAAGAAAACGATTACATCTGCTTGAAGCTCGTGCAATATTACTCAGAAGCTGTAGTTAGAAAAAAATATTAGAGTCAGAATATTGTTCATCCTCCCACCTTGCAATATGAAATTCGGGATTGAGTATTGCAAAATAATAAAAAATTAAACATAGTTCTCCCAAGTCCAATCGATGAGGAACTCTAATTGTCGTTCCCGATTTGGTTATCGTGGGCGATTTTAAATGGGTATGGATAATTGTATTTGTTTCTACAGGTACATCATCAATTGGAGTTTGCTCTACCGAAATATTTTCGCATTGTTAACTTCCGCTGAATTTCGATGGAAATTCCTCGTCAGTCGATAATTCCAAAGAATAAAGATTTTGCACAGCTCTTATGACTTCTCCATTTTGCACTTTAATTGCAATTTCATTGAAATCGATTGAAGCAAAGTGCATTGCATGCTCCAACAGAATTTGTTCCATTATCAGTATAATATAATGGATGGCTTCCCACGTGTCTAGCAAGCAAAACAATGAAACGCTTGTAGAAATGTATCTGTCATTAAGGATGTAACCAGTTCCAAATGAACACAACGGTACATTGCGCAACGGAACACTGTGAACACAACGGTACACTGTGAATAGGCAAATCCATGCCTTCTTGTAGTCTCTTAGAAATATAGGTCCAACATAATCTATGCCGGTTATTTGAAATACTGAGGCATCTTGTACGCGATCTCTAGGAAGTGGTGGCGCTGGTGGGTTAACATTTTTGTTTGAATAACGCTTACAGGTTATATAAGTTTTCAAAACGGATGACACAAATACGTCCCATACTTCATTCCTATGTATCCAAGCTAGCACAGTAGACGAATCTGTCTGAAAATAAATATCATCAGCTTGAAATTCGGGTATTATGCTGGATGCTAAACGTTTACATATTGTAGCTCCAAGAAGTTCCAATCGAGCTATTGTTGTCTTTTTCCTGCCGCTGGGTGCAACTCTAGCTTTAGCTTGCACCAAATGAACTTGCACCGAATGTCTTGTTTGTACTCGAACAAAGACAACAGCTGAATATGCAAGTTTACTAGCATCACTGATGAAATGAAGTGAGATATTTTCAATCTCACGATCACAGTTTAACCATCTTGGTATTCTCATTCTTTTCAGACACTGCAAATCATTCAACCATTTACAAAATTGTGATTTTGAATTTAAATCAACTTCTTGGTCCCAAGATAACTTAACTTCCCATAGGGGCTGAAGTAAAAGTTTCGGCACAAGAATTACGGGGTAAGCTATTCCTAAAGGGTCGAATATTTTGTGTGTAGTAGCTAAAATCTCTCTTTTAGACAAAATTTCTGGTAGATTGTAGGTGATGTTAGTAATATTAAGGCAAAGGTAATCTCCACATCGTTCCCAAATCATTCCTAATACATTTGTGGTACTAGAGGAATTATCTGTTGGGTCACTATATTCCCAACCACGTAATTCTAGCTTTCTTGTAGCTAAAGTATCTGAAGCAACTTGTATGAATTGTTGCAATTCTAAATCATTTTTCACACTCGCTAAACAATTATCTACATAAAAGCTCTTCTTTCAATTGCTCAATAATATCCACTTTATACTTTGGGTTTCCATTTAGTTGTTTCAAAGTGGATTCTAGAAGATGGTGAATTACAGAAAATAGCAAGAAAGGGCTACTTGTAACTGCAAATACTACCCTACAATGCCTGTAATACTTCAGTTTTCCATCAGTTCTATACCATAAGAATCTTAGATAGTCTTTATCCTTAGGGTTGAGACTTATTTGTAAGAATGCTTTTCGTATATCTGCAGAAACTCCTATTCTGTTCATTCGGAATCTATGAAGAATTGAAGGAATCAGTTCGATAAGGTTCTGACCTTTTTCTAGACAATCATTGAGACTAGGTGATCCTTTCTGTTTGGCCGAGGCATCAAACACTGGCCTGATTCGTGTAGTACTGTTTTCTTTTACTACGTGTCGATGTGGTAGATAATGGCATGTTACATCAATTTCGCTTTTTGGTACTTCTTCTATGACGCCTTCTCGTTCCCATTCACTAAAAACTTCTCCATAAGCATCATAAAGTTTCTCAGCTTTTAGTCGTTTTACTGTAGAAGCTAATCTCTTTACAGCTAAGTCATAGTTATCTTTTAACGGTAGATGGTTATCAAGCCATGGCAAGCTGACTTGAAAACGTCCCTCTTCGTTCACCTTTACAGTAGACAAGAAATGATCTCTTGCTTCTTCTTGAAGTTCCAGTTTACTTTTCTTTTTCTTCTCTGATGGGATCTAGAATTCCAAGTGAATCTAGAGACCATAGATCGGATATCAATATTTCCTTATTCAACATGGATGTGACGAGCAGTGCGGAATTGTCCGAGATCTCACGCATACCATTTTTCCCCAAAAAGAGTCCAACCAAGTTTTGTTTCTATAGCAGCAAAGGCCTGAAGTAAGCAATTTAAATCCTCCGGTCATCAACTTGCCTGCAATGTCAGCGCCAATAAGTATTTCTATTGGTCCATTACTATCGTCGCATACGGAAATATTGTTCTTCTTTAAGCTCTCGAATCCACTCGCCATTTAGCAACTGGTGGTATACCTTCACAAATAATATCTTGGCTAAGAGCTTTGAAGTTACAATGATAAGTTCCATCCGTTTTAGACAAGAACACTGTAAAAACATCGTGGTTTATGACATCAGTACATGACCCGCCAAATAATGAATGGCTCAATCTTTCTTTAGATGTACTCTCAAATTTCATTTCATCTGCAGTGCTTTTTAAAATATAAGATCTTTGTGAAGCTGAATCGATAATAGCACGGGCCTGGCGCTTTCTATCTCGCCCTTTCAATGTAACCGTTAAAGTTTGCAAAAACACATTTGTTGTTCTCGCCAAATTGGCGAGGGTTTCATCTCGTTCAGGTACTGCATCCGTATTTTCATCCTTATTCATGCTAACAGGAACTGGAGATTTTGATTCAGCTTGGATATTTCTACATAAAAGTATGTGGTGTTTTCTTCCCACAAATCACACACGATGTTCGTTTTTTACATTTAGCTATTACATGTTTTCTGTCTAAACATAAAAAGCAACTGCGACTATTTAGAACTGCTTTTTGCCTTTCCTCAGACGTCATCTTTCTTGCTTTAAAGCAATCACCAGATGCATGATTTCCAGCACAAAAAATACATCCAGTTGAATTTTGTTCAGATGTTGCTATTAGAGTAGAAGCAGAAGGTGTTTTGGAAAATTCTCCACGGTTTTTGAAACCAAAGTGTTTAGCATTCCCAGGCTTAGGTGTCTGATATTTAGTAAAGCACTGAGTAGCTATAGATACTCTCTCTTCACCTTCAATTTCATCGAGCAAAAATGAAAGCAAACCATCTAAATCCATGCGATGTGTTGACGCATTTTTCTCTTTTTGCTCACTACTTTCAGATTCTCTCTGACTGCGATTAATAACTCGGAATCTTTGCCATGCTCTTAATGTATCATCCGGCAATGACGATTCGACTAGAGGATATAACATCGCCGCATATTTATCTCTAGCAACACCCAGAACTTCTAACGCTCTAAGTTATCATAGAGTTTTCGTAATGAAACTTTTTGCTGAGAGTTTTTTAATAATACTAACGAAAGTAGATCTCTAACATAGACTTCTATAAGAAGGTCTTATTTTCCAAAACGCGATTGCAGTTGTTGTAAAGCTTTACTATAACTTTTGCCACCGGGCAGAAAGCTTTTGATTAACTCTTCAGCAGATGACCCTCTTTCCATAGACTGCAATAAATATGCAAATTTATCATGATCATCTAAATTGGGATCATTATCGATCTTTTTAAACTGGCCCAAAAATGCTAACCAGCTTTTAATATTCCCATCAAAAATCGGAAGTTTAAGCTTAGGATAACGTATAGTAGCATTTTGAGTTAAGCTTTTATTAACAACAGAACCGTTTTTCTTTCCAGCTAGAAGCGAAACTAATTTGCTTTCTACCATTCTCCACTTATCAATATAGCATTCCGACTCATCAAACTCATTATTTATCACAGTTTCATCTTTTTCAATTTTAATCAATTCTTCTCTATAAGTCTGTTCTATTTCAATCATAGGTTTCGCTTTGTCCTCAACTAATTTAAGTTTCGAAATTTTTCCGTCTAAAGATAAATCATTTTCATTCTTCTCAAAATCATTTAAAGCTTTTGTAAACAATCTCCTAAATTGAGATCGTTTGCACTTCAAAACATCCATTATAAATAAATGAAAGAATTCTACTTACAGATAACATTCCAGTCAGCGGACGCCAAATGTTCAAAAATTCTCACCAAATTTGTTACCTCAAGAACTATTTATTATTCAGAAATAACTATCTACATCTCTTTAGTTATTTACGACTCTACAATAATTAAATAATTCCTTTATTCATACTCTCAAATGAGGAAAACAAAAGTTACACTAACTCTTTAAAAAGAACAACATCATAGTATGTTGCCATTCTCTGAAACATACTGTTACAAAACATAGATAATGAATAAAAAAACCTATAGAGTAAAGAAAACGATTGCATGTACTTGAAGCTCGTGCAATATTATTCAGAAGCTGCAGTTAGGAAAAAATATAAACCAAAATATTAGAGTCAAAATATTGTTCAGAAAATGTTTCGAGAGACAGCTAAGGAAGGACTTCAGAAGCAAAGAAAGAAGATGAATATTGCGTCTACTAAAAACTTTCCGAAACCTAGTCCAGGATAAAATGTTAAAATAAAAGTACTTGTTATTGATAGATCGAAAATGAATTTAAGATCATGAAGAGCCTTTAGTACAGACATTAAAGAAGATGAGTTTTATATTCTTGGTACTAAGATTGCTATACTAAAATCATTGCACACAGGAAACAAGGTTATCTTTTGCAAAGAAAATTTTTTAAACATCGAAGAAGTTGGTACAGGAGAAACAGGTGTACATGACGTAGTAAGAAATATTTTTTTTATTGAGGGGAACAAGGACTAAGAAAATGCAACTGCTCAAAGAAGTGTACAATGAAGATGTAATTGTGTAAATCAGCTGATCTACTTTATAATTTAAAATGCCATAACAGTCAACCTTGCAACCTTGTTGTAACAAGTAGTAAAAAGTATTAGATGTATTAAAGAAAAGCATACTACATTTTTCTTATTTTTAAAGTTTCATAACTTTTATTGACCTTTTTTCTGACCTATCAGTTTAATTTTTTTAATTATTGCCATAATTATTTAAAAAATTATTGAAATATATGCAGTAGTTATCGAGAGAACTGTGCATTAATTCACTTTTTTCACATGGGATCTTATGTGTGAAATGGCATAAATATTACAATTTTTCATTTTTATTTCTTGTAACTCTTTGAAAAATAATTGTAAGATGGTTTCATAAACATAATCTTAAATAATATCTTATATTGATCACTTTTACAATTTATATTATCAATTGAAAAGTGTATTTAATTTTTGGGGACACACTGTATACAATATATCTGCGAATGGAAAATCCTATCATAAGTAATCCTTCGTTTCGGGCTTTTACCGGAAGGCGTTGGTAACTCCTAGGTTTTACCGCTAAGGCTTGGTAAAAGCTAGGTTTTACCGGTAAAATCTAGGATTTACCCGACTTCGGGCTTTTAGAATAACACATGTTTGAAAGGCCTGTTTGTAGAGCTTCTACTTATATCATGGCTTCTAATTGAGCTATTTTCTCAATTTAAATGTTGATCAGTTTAGAATTGCAAAATTTACAATATTATATTAGAAATAAAGGCTTACATATAGAATACGTCGCCACAGAATCAGTTAAACAAAAATGCATGTTAGGATTATTACGTAAAATGTAAGAAAGAACAATAAATAAATCAAAACAATTCATAACAATATAAAACTTAACAAACATTCTCTATTCGTAAAAAGCAAATTTAAAGTTAATCATATTAAAATAATGAAGTTTAACTGCAAACAAATGAATGATTAATTATTGCTGCGAACTAATCTACAAATATCATTTAAATTCTGAGAGCATACGTAAATCAAGCGCAAGTATTAAAATCAATGAATAAATGTATAATTCCAAAAAAATTTTTAACCCTAAAAAAATTATAATGCATAAGTGAATAATTGTTAATTTCTCAAAATTCCTCTTGTGTAAATTTCTTTTAGTAAGTCACAGCATTTGGTTTTACTTTTGGTTTTGAATTTTATTTTTACCTTTGCCTACATGGATGACGAAACACGAATTGAGTAACTGAAGAGTTAGGTTTGGAGGCCACTTGATAAGTATGTCTCCTGCCTGCTCGACAATTATTCACTTATGCATTTTTATAAATTATTTAGGAGTAATAATTTTTTTGGAATTATACATTTATTCATGGATTTTTATATTTACGCTTGATTTATATATGCTCTCAGAATTTAAATGATATTGTAGATTAGTTGGCAGCAGTAATTAAACATTTATTTATTTGCAATTAAATTTCATTATTTAAATTTAATTAACTTGCTTTTTACGAATAGAGAATGTTTGTTCAATTCAAATTGCAATCCTTGCAGCAATGACGCAAGAAAATTATTTAATTTAACTTAGTTTTACTATTTATTCTTTTGAAACATAAGAGTATAAATATACCTAAAATCCGACATATAAGCACAAATATATGAGCCGAAATATTTATATCATTGTCATCGTTTACTTAAATATTCATTAATTTTTATTTTAACAATTGAAGCATGCTTTTGAAATGACGCAAAATAGTTTTCGTCTTGTCTTCGTTTATTCTATAAACTAATGGAAATGGCTGAGTTGTTTAAATGTGATAACGTAATGGAAACAGAGCTCCAGTTCGAAATGCTCATGCATTTCTAGGAATTTTGTGGAAAACGGCCATCAACTGTAACTGAAACTGAATGACGAGCTATAATGCGCCATCTATAAGAGTACGCAGACGAATAGCACCGATGACGAATACAGGCGTGTGATGATGTTTAAAGACTATTCGCAATCGTAGTTTAGTAACAACTCGATGGGTTTTAGCGACTTTTTTTACAAAAGTTTGGTGTCAGAAGATAAAGTTCATGCTCTATACATTAACGTTTCGGTTTGTTTACTGTAGCTTTCCTTTTATCAAAGATTATGAATTAGCAAAGTTCAATGTTTTCAAGAGGATTACAGGTCAGTATTTTACTTTTGTAACCTTCACTCTGAATATAACATTTTCTAATGTATAGAAAAATGGCTTATTAGAAATTATGAAAAAAAACTATTACTGCATTGGCAGATAAAAATGTTACATGTGATATCTTAGGGGAAGTTTTAACTGAAAAAAATGAATAAATTAAAATTTTCAGAATGACAAATTGAAAGTTTAAGTTAATCGATGGAAATTTAATCTAGGAGGAAATAAAACTAGCACTAATTACCAAGAAAAAATGTATCTGGTATAGTAACAAAT